AGGTAGATTGTAGATTTGTAGGTAACTACAAGTTTTAAATATAAAACTATACAATGTATAGTATACATGTATATGTGCACATTGGATATCCCAGAGTACTCCCAAATCTTGCTATTAGTCTAACTTACTAAGACTTATTCAGACTTTTTCCGACTTAATAAGTCTTATTCTGACTTTTTCCGACTTAATAAGTACTTAATAATACGTATTATTCAGACTTTTTAAGAGAAAGTAAGACTTTAAAAACTCTTATTAAAACTTTCTCAGAGAATTTTTCCACAAGGGTATTCTGAGAAATTTTAAAGCATATTCCTATGTTCAAAAAAGTTTATGCGGGGAACATTCTAGGAAAATCTAATTTTCTTTGGGTTCCCTTGGTAACATACCGTAACATTTCGCTAAACCTAAAATTCAGTTAATAATAAACTACTAAATACTAAATAAACATAAAAAAGTAATAACATTTTTTTACCTGTTATCTGTCAAAAGTGGATCAGATCTGGTCAATATTGTTTGACCTATTAAGTAATAGTTGCCAGACTAGTACACATTGTAATATTGTACTAGTACTACGAGGTGAATATTTTTCAATTTCGATGCCTTTTGATTTAAATTTTTTGAATTTTTGGTTCGCACTTTTACTATTCAAAGCAAGCACAAACAAAATTCGTTTTTTTTTAAACCTCAAAATATTTGACGAATTCTGATTAATTAATACTATAGTACTTATTATATTCATATATTCTTCTCCCAGGCTGCAATGAAGGTTCGAAAATATTCCAGGAATATTCCCTATCGCCTAGGAATAATCCGCTTCATTCTAGGAATATTCATTGGGAATATTCCTAGAATGATCCTCTAAAACTTCCAAGCATCATCTAAGAATATTCCCAGTGAATATTCATTAGTTTAGTTGCAATACCTCTCACCGTTGCTTATACGCACGCTTAATAACTATATATACCGATAGGTTAATAATATTAGTTGGAGATGTGCCTTAAGGCAAATTTGTGATGGCACAGCCAAACAATAATTAGAGTGGGACTGATCTAGGTACTCAGTAACTCAATAATGGCTATTCTTAAGTTAAGTTCCTGGGTATAAGAGGCAATAAGGGCTGGGAATAATCCCCAAATTATATCAAGGAATATTCCCCTAACAATCCTTGAGTCTTCTGCAGGCAGATATATGGAATATTCTTTTTATGATGCCTGGGTTAACCAAAAAGTGGACATTTGATTATGCCAGGAATATTCCTGGGAATATTCTGGGACAATTGGAATATTCCTGGTAATATTCCTGACATGTGCAGGGAATGTGATTTTGCGGTCTGGGCTATAATGCTACGAGTAATCAAAGAATATTTTGAGGTGTGATATAGCGAATATTGTAGTACCTACTATTTGTAACCACAAATAATATATATTATTCGCCATATTACATCTCAAAATATTCGACATATATTTTTGATTACAACAATTTTATTGAACCAAAATTTTAAAAAATTAAATCAAAAGGCATCGAAATTGACTTGCCCAAAATATTCACCTTCCCAGATAGCACAAAGGTATACTATGGACGTCCAATGGACGTATGCTCGTGGACGTCTGTATGTACATAGGATGTCCATTTTTTTCTATGGACGTCCCATGGACATCCGTTTAGAGTCCAGATGTCACAACTTTGGACATCCATAAGTCGTCCACCGATGGACGTCTATAAGGTGTGAACCATTCCTCCAGCATCCAGGACCTGCTTTTTTGCTTACTTTAACTGTTTTTTGCGACTGTATTTTCATTGCGATGTTGCAGAAAATTTTCTGTCTGGCTCAGTAACAATCCCACTAGGAATATAAATATTCTAAAAGTTGTTAAAAGTTACAACATTCAATGTTGAACATTGCAGGAAATCCTTGTATTCGACTCAGGAACATTACATTTGCAATACTACAAGTGTTTAATATTTCATTGATAGCTTAAGTCCTTTATAGCACGCGCTTGCTTGAATGTCAGTGAGATTGATCATAACTGTTGTTATGCAGCCAACAATACGTTTTAACTTGCATTTCTGTAATAATAATTATGGACGTAAAATGGACACTATATGGACGTCCATTAAAATCGTACAAAGGATGTAAATATATGGACGTACATAGTACATCCATTTTTAGTCCGTGGACCAATGTACTTAAAATGGATCTTAAACGGACGTCCATTGGACGAATGGTGCTATCTGGGTTATAGCTACTTAAGTAATTTTTGACAATCAAAAGTAATTGTTGCGAATATTGGACTGGTACAAATTGCAGCGAATATTCTACAGTATTCGATGCAATTTGTACTAGTCCAATATTCGCAACAATTACTTTTGATCGGTCAAAAATTAATAAAAAAGCGCTCTATTGATCCACTTTTGACCGATTACAGGAGCAAAAATTGTCAGCGATATTTATGGTGGTTCTACTCAAAATGGACAAAGTAATAAAGGTTGTAGATCTTATCAAGACTAACGCTCTTTTTAAATAAATATTTTTCATTTGACCTTTAGTTTTCAAATTATCGACTTTTTTGTTTTTACATAAACCTTTTTATCTTGCGTTATAATATATTATGGCCGGGTTTTAAGAAATATTTTTTTTTGGAATTGACAGTTTATTCCTCCCACACGGAACAATGACATCCAATGGATATCCAATGGATTTCTTTAATGGATAACCATTGGATATATAAATGTCCGACCCTCCTGGACATAGTGTGGATATCCAATGGATATCCAGTGGATATAGTATTGTATGCAATAAGGTTGCAATCTGTATTCAATATGGAGATTGTATGGATATCCAATGGATAGGGTATTTAATGCAATATGGTTGTCATCTGTATTGGATATGGTGAATCAATGGATATTTACTTTTTAATAAATAACATTGGGTTTTAAAATAAAAGTCTTATTCTTTAATTTAAATATTTATTTTTATGAAAACATAAAAAAGAACATATAACTAAAGAAGTGAAGTCTCTGGCTTGCCATCACTCCTCCAGCTGTCATTTGCCTTTTTATCAGCCTAATCATTTAGGGCCTATTTCACCTAGGTGAAGCTGTCTCCTTATGATCCCCAAAATTTGGCCAATCCATCAGCCCATTTGTTACCCTCGAGCCTATGTATAGCTTGCAAATAAAGGTACGGTATATAAATGCATGCATGTATTCACCTTTAATGTTTTACCTTCAATGCTAACCGAAAGTTTATAAATTGCACTTAAATATAGGTACCTATTTAATTTAAAATTGTATTAGTTTTAGACCAATACAATTTAAAATGATAACTATGATTAGAAAATTAATAAAATATTCACTTACCACTATAGACCTCAAACAAATACCTAACCACAAAACACAATAACTTGGCAATAAACTTTATGACAAACATATAACAAATAGCAATGATGGCGAATAAACCTTTACAATCTGTGGAATGAAGCAAATAAACATGAAAACCCTTTGCATGTACCTAACAATCATGGCATCATATTTAACGGACGCTACCATAGAAAAAGGACGCTTCTTTATCTTCTGTGTTCGGCGGCAGTGTTGTCAGACGTTTAAATAATTTCAGAAAGCTCATCAAAATGGCGGTTATATTATTAAATCTTTAATACTTAATTAATTAGTATACCTAGGTAGTATACCTATTTAACATAAATGTGGTGAGTAATTATTTTAAATTTATTTAATTTATTTATTAAAACTTAATAAAGTACGGAAATATATTTCGTTTAGTTATTTTGCTTCTAACCGGCAACACTGAAGATTCTCAAATTCAGCGCGTGCGTACTACTATGAAATACAATAATAAACAAAAGGGACCTAAGTAATTTTTTATTGTATAATACAATTTGTATTGCAGACTGTCATAGTCATATTATTAACAGAAATAATACCTAGGTAAAGTGAACATTTCAAAATTAAAAATTTCGTAGCTCTTGGCAAAAAATCAATTTACCGTAAAGTTGTTTTTTGACATATGCCAGTTCTCAATTAAACCATCACAAAATCCCACATGTATACATACAAGTATATATACAAGATATCCATATCAGTTATCCACTGGATATCCAGTGGATATACATTAGATGTACAGTGGATATACTTAAGTAAATTTAGACATACATTAGTTATCCATTGGATATATATTAGAGATACTTTGTTGAAATTGGTTTAATAACGATTTAAATCATATTTATTAATCATTACATATATTTATCCTATAAGGGGCTATTTTAAAAAAGAAAAAAATATTTTTAATGTTTTTGTTCTTTTTTAACATCCAGTATGGATATCCATTGGATATCCAATGGATATCGTAAAAGGCATGGATGTTATACGGACATTGGGATAGCCATTGGATATCCATTGGATAGCGTGTTCTGTGTGGGCTAATATTTACAATTTTTAGTGTAAAACATTTTTAACAAAAATATCTATGAACAAAGATAAAAAGTTTATATAAAACAAAAAAGGTCAATAATTTAAAAATAAAAGTTTAAATGAAAAATATTTAATAATTGATTACGTTGTCCATTTTAAGTAGAAAAACCCTTTATAAAGGGTGTTAAAAGTGAAAAATCTGTTCTGTCATTGGCAATTACCTTGACATGCACAGTATACCTATAGCATAAACAGCAAAAATTGGCTATCAAAGAATTACAGTTAACCGATATTACCAAATCAGAATTTTATTTTATTTGAATGATAAAAAAGGTCAATTTTAAAGATTAATTGTTAGAGAATTTATATATAAAACTATAGGTTTAAAAAAAATTAATCAAAAGTGTAACGTTACAATTTGATTTACAATCCTTTATAAGACCATAATAAAAATTATTTACCCATCTAAATAAACGAAAAAAACAACCATGTGCGCATAGTGCGTAAAATCAATAGTGGGAGAAACCGCGGGCGTTATAAATAAATCTCCTGCACCGTGTTACATAAACGCGATGAACAAGTTAAAATTGAAAACCCTGCAGACAAACTGCTGTTGTTTAGTAATAAATAAGTTTTACAGTATAAAAACAAACATTAAAAATTATGGACAAGTGATAAGCGATGCCGAAAAAGTTGTGGGGGTGCCTACTTCTTTTCTAAGCTTGAGATGTTTAATGAATGATGAAGTGGCCGATATTGCGAATCACATGAGAAAGTTAATGGGAACTGGACATCCCCTAATTAATACAGCTAAGTATGTACGTAATGATAAACTAGGAAAAATTAGGTACACCGTAAATTATGAATATTAAAAAATATATATAGAGAGGATAATGTTATTTGGTATAATGTTTTAATCTAATAATTTATATGGATTCATATAAAACCGAAATAAAACCAGGTTTATAAAAAAAAATCAAAATATACTATATACAGAGTATTATATTTAAGGTGACCAACTTTCTAAAATAAAAAACCAGTACACAACATGCCCCTCCTCGCCATTATTTAATGTTTATTATAAAAAAAAGTACTAATAACGTAAATAATAAAAAAAATATCCTGAAGGTACTCCCAAAAATTCAGATTTTTAAATTAATTTTTAACCTGAGCCTCGACCACTTTTAATGAAACAAACGAGGTTTTTTCTTAGTTTTTTACTATTCTGAAGGTACTCCCAAGAATTCAGATTTGTAAATTAATTTTTAACCTGTGCCCCGACAACTTTTTAAAAAAATAATAGAACAAATCCTTAAAAAGTGAGAACAATAATTTGTTATATTTTTTTTTAACGAGGTTTTTTCTTACTTTTTTACTCTTCTAAATGTACTTCCAAAGTTTTAGATTTTAAAATTAATTTTTAACCTGAACCCTGACCACTTAAAAAAAAATATAACAAATCCTAAAAAAGTGGGAAAAACTCATATGACTTATATAATTAAAAAAAAAAGTTCTAATAACGTAAATAATAAAAAAAAATATCCTGAAGGTACTCCCAAAAATTCAGATTTTTAAATTAATTTTTAACCTGAGCCCCGACCACTTTTAATAAAACAAACGAGGTTTTTTCTTAGTTTTTTACTATTCTGAAGGTACTCCCAAAAATTCAATTTGTAAATTAATTTTTAACTTGAGTCCCAACCACTTTTTTTAAAAATCCTAAAAAAGTGGGAAAAACTATTTTAATTATTTGTTATCCCAAAATTTTTAATGAATTTTGAAGGGTGTTTCAAGTCTCTAACCAGGTTAGGTATCTGAGATTTTCCTACATGTACATATATGTATATGTTGACATAGACATATATATTATATGTTAATTAACACATTTTTTCACCCAATTTTTTAGTTATTAAATTTTATATGATTATAAGAAAGAGCATTTAATGGGCTACAATGCTTTTCAAAATAACCTTTAACATACAGGCAAGAAGCACATAGCATATGCTATAGCTATGCTATATAGTCCATATGTCCCTTAGAAGTCTAACATATCAAAACAACCTCATATATTATAAAAAAATGTTAAATATTAATATTAAATTACAATTTTGTATGCCTTAAAGCCATATGATTTTGTAATGGATATATTTTTATAAAATTCGGCAAACTTAAAATAAAAATCTCAATTGATGTATGCATTAAAAGTTACCAATCAAAGTTGCAATAAAAATATAAATTACATTACAAATTAATGCAAAAATAATGAAAACAATTTATTTATTAAAGGCATGTGGATTTAATTCTGTATCTTTATGGTATGACTGAATGACAAAGCCTTAAGAATAATAATGTAGTTATGACCTTAAGTATTCGTTTTAATTATTTTAAAATATTCTTTAAACGCGTTAATAATTTTAAGGGACTTAATAATGGAGAAGGATACAATGCCAAAATGGGGCCTTATAATATTACTTCTATCGAAATGCCAACAAATTAACATTCGACTGGAAATTCAACCAGATTTAACTGAAGGTAGATAATTAAAAAAATATTTTGTGTAAAAATATAGCCAATTTATATTTTCAAGGTATTCTACCACAGCAGCGCACCCTAGCGGAAGTAACAGAAATGGTTCGAATCAGCAATGTGTTGCACAACAGTATTGTGAATCACGAAAAATCAGACACATCAAACAGTTATGGCAACAAGCTGGCGCTACTAAGCGGCGACTTTCTCCTAAGCACTAGCTTTAAACTACTGGCAGAGATGAGGAACCAAGAGGTCAATCTACTAATATCAACGGCCTTACGAGATTTAAATGAGTCCAATTTTATTGAACCAAGAGACAAGCAAAACAAACCTCTTCCAGCAAAACCGTTAAAGAAAAAAACTGAAATAGAAGTGCCAGTAGAACTGACAATGCAACCTTACAAAATATCGGAGTACCTAGGTTCTGCCAAAAGTGAGTGGACAATAAGGAGTTTGCTAGGTGGCGCCACTTTAATGGCGAGAAGTTGTGAGGCTACCATGATACTCTCCGAAAATATACCATACCAAAATTCAGCGCACGTGTTTGGGAGAAATATGGGCCTACTTTTTCAAATTTCTCAGGAATTAAAAAACTTTCAAGACTGCGCAAGTGTTGAGTTAACTTCGGCACCTATTTTGTTTCACTTAGAATACGAGCCTAGTTTATACGAAGAAATTGTCGAGAATTCCGATAAAATAGAAATGGATAAGCTAAAAAATATAGTAAACAACGGACCTGGAATTGAAAAGACGATAAAATTAAAGAAATATTTTACCAATAATGCACTGAAGGCTTTACATACTTTCCCGAAAAGTAAAGCGCGGTTAGCTCTGGAAAGTATAATTGAAAATATGTGATAAAACAATATTTCGTCGGGTTACTGTTTTAAGTAATTTGAATTTATAACATATTCATTGGGTCTATTTACTAAAAATGAAGTTATATCATTTTTGTTGCGCTCGGCCTTGATCGATTTAACCGATTCGGTTATGCTCGTAGTTAAGTTGTCCTTGCAGAAACAATTATGTCATAAAATTAAAAAAATTTAGTTATTCTTGCAGTAACCCGACGATTTGTGATATAATTTAAATCAAAATATAGCAATAATTTGGGATATGATTTATGTAAATAAGACAAATGTTAACTAATAACAAACTTTATTTTTATAAAAAAATACAAAATAAATATTTACATCCTCCACCAATTTGTATAAAATATTAATGTTATTTATAAAAATCTTCTGTATACAAACTGACAAAACTATCAGTACCGGAATATATCACAGATTAAAATAAACAATACATTTATTATTTTGTGGTTTGCGACTGGTAGATAAAATGGTAACTATTGTTTTTATGTTGTGCTGTAAAATGGCAAAAGTCATGTTTAAAATTTTGCATGTAAAAAAAACTTTATAAAAAATAACCCATTATATAGTGTATACACTCTAAAAATATTGTAAATTTAAATAAATAAAAAAAATACCTCTCATCTACAAATCTTGCATAGCCGCAATAATATTCGCCAAAGCGTTTCTAGCGTCGGATTCCGGAAGCTCGTTGAGCATCTCCAGCGCCATCTTGGAATGTTCCCTCTGCAAATCTTTGGTTTTCTCTATACCGGGACCGTTAAGAACGACTTTCTTCAACGCATCGTAGTCCACGTCGTCCACAGACTCAAATCCTTTCTCTATAGTTTCGTATAGATTGGGATCGTGCTGCAAGGCGAACAGAACGGGAGCGCTGACCAAGCTGAAGCTGCCCTTTGCGTCGAGAAGGAACGGTTCGCGGTCCAGGCAGGCTTGCCAGGCCAAGGCAAGGTGTTTACCAAACAGGTAGCCTTTTTCTTGGAGGTCTACCGGGTGGCCTGCTAGTTTCAGAGTGCCTTGGCATGATTTGCCCAGAAGACTCCCTAAAAAAATAAAACATATTAAACATTTCTTATGTACACCTCAACTAAACATTGTATCATTTCATGAGTATTAGAAGATTAGTCTTGCATACATATTGATTTTATTAAATAACAGGGTAAATAACAACAAACATAAAATTTTGACCAGTTTAAATAACCATAAACAAAATACGACAAACTAAAATAACATCAAACAAAAGTAAGTAAGGTATAGTCGCGGCCAAATCTGCATGGGTGCACGTCATCAACGGCATATGACGTCAGCCTTAATGTCCATTCATGCGTGCCCAGGCACAATCTAACGCTCGTGTATTGTTGACTGTTTATATTGGTTGGGGCTGTTTATTAAGATGAAATTATAACATCATTGTTATAATCTTCTATACTAACTAATTAGAAGTTTGTTACGGGCAAATTTTGTTTAAAAAAACAAACGGAGTTTACTACTTTTTTATTACATGACAACAAAATACTAAATTAACAGAAACACAAAAATACTAAATTACCATTCGCAATATAATAACTGTTGCCGTTGGCAACAAGCCTTGTGATAAACACAATGTATAAAAGTATTTATAATAATCTGCAACAAACGATGTGAATGTAAGTGAATGGTTTTATTTTCATAATTTCGTAAAAAAACGTTTTAAAACAGGAAAATTGTTACAGTTCTTGGTAAACAATTTGCAAATGAATGATATTTTTTTATAACACATCAGAATTACGCTTTAAAAAAACAAATTTAACAGAAGTAACTTTACAATTCAAAGTTGGTAATGCTGACGTCATTATATCGCATTGATGACATGCACCCATACAGATTTGGCCGCGACCTCTTTTTAACATGGTACAGTTGGATTCATCTACCGACTTTGAACACGCACAACACCCAAGGCTGTGCCCGGGGATCGAACCCGGTACCGACGGACGCAGTTTGTCTCGACTTTGTAGCTTAACCCACTGCGCTATCGACGGACCCTGCTATATAATGTATTATTTATTTTTGTTGGTAAATCAGGATTTATACAGGGTGATTCTAAACTGGCGGAAAAGCGTAGGCCAAGGGAAGTCCTTGAAAAAAGGTAAAAAAAATATATTGGAAATTATCAAAAAACAGAATCGTAAACTCGGCAACATTGAAGCAGTGGCTGGTGTGCTGTTTTATTTATGTAGTCAATAAACAAAATTATTGTTTTCATAGAAACCATGTAAAAAATAGTCATAAGGAGTAGAAGTGACTCTTTTTGTGGTGAGTACAAAAATTGACGGCCGAAGCGTAGCTGAGGCAGGCAACTGTACGAAGCACAAAAAGAGCTTCTACTCCAAATAACATATACAATTTTTTTTCAAGGGCATAATATAAATAGGATAAGCAATAGAATTATTTTATTTACTCATAAACTCATCTGGTATAAAATTTTGGCTAAAAGCATAAGAAATTATTGATAAAAACTAAAAAAAAACGTATAACCCTTACTTACAATGCCGATAAATATCCTAAACTAAAAATAAACACTGCTCTGTCAAAATGCTGCGCTTGAATTAATTTTGACGTACTGACATTTGTTTGGAGTTCCGACATTGGCGACTCGTCTATTATCATAATATTATACTAATTAACTAGTTGTTCTTTATTTCGTTCAATTAAAATTTAATAAATAATCACTTAATATTCCGTGCGATTATAATTAATATAATTAATACATCGTGATTGCTTTGTATGAAATGCTAAATTAATTTTATTATTTGACGTCTATTGAGTCACCTATGGATTTACTTCTATCTCTAGGCTTTTTTGAGTTTTTTGTCTGCCGCTAATGAAAAAGACTTACTTTAACTATCTCTATACATGCATATAAGGTTGTATATCATGGCCGCTTGAAAAAAAAAAAATTATTGCATAAAGGAATCCCATTATTTTGGTTTCATGACAGATTATGACGTAGGTACTAAGATACACCGAAGGGTTACATACATAAGGCGGGATATATGAACGTAAGCCTCAGGCTGGTCGACTTATGGGTTGTACACCCAATTGTCCTACAAGATTAAAATCTGTCTTCGCCACGTCTAAGTTTTCTAATAATTATTATAATAAAGTAAAACAAAGTAGTATTGAGCCAAGTATTGAAATCGTAGTGAAAATTCCATTTCAAATATCCCTAGATAATCACGTGTTCGTAATCCAGTGTTGCCGGATCTTCTAGACGAGAATGACAAATTGATAATTTTGGTTTAACATTCAACATTATTGTTAATTATTGCAAAAATGTGCGGTGAAAGTTAACAAAAATGCATATCGCAGTTCCACAAGCATAAGTGCATAAATGAAAAAAAATTCCTAATTTTTCAATGTCACGTTATAAAAAATGCATTAATTAGAGACATGTGCTGTAAAGAAAATGTATTTAATAAACGTATTTCTTAAAACATGACACTATGCATATGCACTTATATCTGTAGAATATACATATACATTTTTGTTAAAACACAGTTTAGCAATAATAAACGATAACAGCCCATGTAGTCTTAGCAATTTTAATAATATTTTACTCTGAAACAGTCAATCTTTCTGAACTTCTGTAATGTCTTTTAAGTAGACTACTACAACCTAGAATTTTTTCGTAGCGACTATAGTTGGTTATAATATTGTGCCCGAACCTCCTGAAACTAATAATAATCTTAAAAAATATTTTTTTGGCGCTAGGTCCCTTTTTTGGATCGCGTCCAATATTTAATTTCAGCATTTCAACGTTATCGGGTACCTACTAATTTTCAAAATTCTTTTTTTATTTGAAAATTGCTCCCAGATTTTAAATTCAATAAATTTATTCAATACCTAAATTTCCGCTGTCAATTCCCAAGTTTCTAAGCAGCGGTTTCTAAGTGTCAGGGAGTTTATTATAATACCAATTATACTAATTTTAATCAAATGTTTTTTGCGGGTGTTTGCCTACTCGCGCCCCGCGACTTTCATTCCCTACCATTTCTCACAAAAACGTCATGAAATAGCCTAATTTCGACTTAAGGCTTTTTTCCTTTGTATTTTTCACATGATTATTACGAAATTGAAAAAAGAATTATAATTTTGCATGACAATGTCTAAACATTCTTAAAAACATCAATTTGTAATACCATAGAAAAAGAATACCTTTCAGTCTACAAATCGTTTTCGTTGATTTTCTCTGTTCGAAGCTGAACAGATTTAAGTTTCTTTTTAACTTGTACCTACTGAGGGGATTTTGGGCATGGAGAATAGTATCTCAATTTTGAGAAATTAGCAAAAAAAATTTTGAGAATATAACAGTTACTTTTACTAACGTTAAAATTTTAGGAAAAAATACATGTGCATTTTTTTCTAAAAAATTTTAATATTATTATTTTAATCAATTCTGCATAAGGTAACTTGTATTTGATATTTTTATATGAAGAATGTTGGTTTTGAAAAACAAATTGTTAAATTGTAAACAAAAGGTACCAAAACTTTTTCTCCAAAATACCATTGACATAAACATTAATACACAAAGGAGAATATTACGAAATAACACCAATATTTACCATCAAACACAAAAACTGGAAATAAAAAAGTACTTTCAGGGATATTAAAAAATAACACTTAAAAATGTTTTTTCACAATCCTAGGACATATGTTCATCTGAACTTTCACTAAATGACCTGGAACACACTGTTTGACAGATCCCGCTTAAATCTAGTCGAAAAACCAACTTACAGGAAAAAAAATTATTAATACCTTTTGAATACAAAAATACGGAAACTTTTCGGATGCATAACTTAATAGCTTAACTTACCAGCATTTAGAACATGTCTTAAGGTCCATTCTGTCACAGCATCGCCCAATGCTTCGCTGACAACCCAAGGTTCCAAAGTTTTATCAGTAAACTGCTTATATTCGACAATATCGGTCCTCGGCCTGGCTGGCAACGCATTATTCTGCTTGTCCCTGGGTCCGACGAACTCCGCCTCTGCCAAGTCCCTAACAGCGGAACTCATCAACTCGACCACCTCCTGGTTCCGCAAGTTCGCCAGCTCGATACAGCTGTTGCTTAGCAGATAATCGCCGCTCAAAAGGGCAATTTTGTTGCCGAACATTAGGTCTTCGGCGACATTCGCTTGCAATTGTAGATTTACTAGGCCCTTGTGCACCAAATGGCTAGTCCGTATCATCTCGGTGACTTCCGCAAGGGCGCGCTGGCTGTGCAGCACGCCGGCCGCCTTGTCCTGCTCCAAGTCGGGTGTGTCCGCCGAGTGGCCGGCTGCTTTTGAGACGAGCAGCACGATAAGGCCCCACGCTTGCATGTTGTTTTTTCCATTGTAAATTATTTCCCTGGAAAACAAAATAAAACGTAGGAAATTTTAACTAATTAAATTAAATTTTAAAGCTCTTCTAGAAGCATAGTGAGGGAAGAATACCCTCATTTTATAGTTGTATGTAAAATTTTCTATTTTCCATAATGAAAAAAGGGTTACCAATTTTATTTTCTCAGACAATAATTTCGTAGGACAAAATTTCTCAGTAATAATCTTATTGCAATAATTTTTCATTGCAATAATTTTCCACTGCAATAATTTCTGACTGAAATAATTTCTCATTTTAATAATTTCTCATTGCAATAATTGAGGAGCATCCGTGCAAAACCGGCTATATTCACTTTAATAAAATGTTGGGAAAATGGCAAAAACTCTCGGTTTCCTGGCCTTTACAGATAAAAATAAAAGCAAACTTGAGTTTTGTGGGCTTTGTGGTACTTGATTTATAAGACATATTTTCGTTTTCAAAAACTTTATATTAAGGCCAAAATTTCAAAAAATGTTTTGTATAGCCGGTTTTGCTCGAAAACCGAATAAAAAACGAATAAAATGTGAAAAAACCTTTATTATTCAAAAATATTAACAAAATAAATTTAGTGCAAACGTGAAAAAACAGAACAAATTTTAGTAGTAGTATCGACATATCCAAGCCACATATTATTATTTATTGGATATAGCCGGGTTTGCTATAAAAACGTGGATTTGGCCGGTTTTGCTCCTAAAGCTACCTTTTAAATGTGATTTTAACATGGATTTAGTCGGATTTAAACAGAATTATCTTGGTTGTCGATAGAAATGAACCCAAAGATGCGAAATAAAAAAAAAACAAAAACTGAATAAAATAGATTTAGCCGGTTTTGCACGGATGCTCCTTAATTTATCTTGACATAAATTGGAAACAAATTAAAAGCACAGTATTTTATTTAAATGTCAAATATATATGTTCCGTAAATTACTAGATGTAAAGTTAAAGTAATAAATTCACAGTAAAAATCATACACGTTAAGTAAATATTGTATATGTTAAATAGTACAGTAAAATAATAAATGTTTAGTAAAATAATAATTATTTAGTTAATTTAATAGATGTTCAGTAACATCTTAATAATTGTTGTTTGGGTTCATTGGTTAATTGGTTGGGCTGGTTGTGTTGGTTGGTTGATTGTGTTAATTGGTTGGTTTGTTTTTTTTGGTTGCGTTGGGTGGATTGTTCAGATATAAGTAAAGTTGGTGTGTGCCAAACAAAACAAATTCCAAACCTAAATGCAAAACTAGATTTTATTTTTACTTAACTTTTATTATTTGTACTGGAATAAAATACTGTGCATTTAATATTTCTTTACCATATTTTTTTATAATTACTGTGTATGAATTACTTGATATTTGTATTTTTTTTCTGTCCAAAATGGATCATACAGAAAATAAGGGGCCTCTGACCTTTTATGTTATACCAGTTTGTTATTGCATCCACAATATAAATATTAAAATAATCCGAAAATTGATTTTAATTTTAACAGCATTTTTATTTTATCATAGTACACTATAGTTGCTAGCAGTGGCGTAGCGACAGTATAGCGAACGCCCGCCACCGCGGGGGCCCTAACCTCGTAGGGGCCTGGCCGATATTTGCCCCAAAAACATTAAAATACTTATTTCCATAGTATTATCTGCAAAACAAAAACTTGACGCTTAAAAAATTACCTATGGCAACACAGTAAGATTGCTTGTAACATTAAAATATGGCGCTAAAACATGTCGCCTCTTTCCGTCACAGTACAGCACAACAGTATCAACAAACCTGTTTCAATTAGTTACCTAATAGAAATAGGATAGTTTGTTACCAAACTACCAAACTAAGAAATACCAATTGTTTTATATTATTGAGAGTACTAAACTGTCTCTCCAAGTCTCAAAACAAAATAAACCAAAAAAATGTTTTAAACTTCTATGGTCGTGCCTTTACTGAGTTGATACTACCAACACCTATGAGACACCGACCTGAACTACTAATTGAATTGCAAATTGCAAAAGAAGTAAAAGAGCAGCTAGAGTAAGTTCTAAACCATAAACATTGACTGAACTGGGTCATTCTTAAAATTGTGTACAATTTGATATTTTCACCTTGTTTTGAAAATATAGAAAAGAAAATGAAATTACTTTTCTGTTAATATCAAATGACGTTCTAGATTTTTTAAGAACAACTGTCTAGTATGCGCGAAAAAAAATTTTTTCATGTTAAAATAATTAAAAAATGCACACAAATATCACTTCCGTGGATGTAACCGTTTGTGATTCTCCAACATTAATTAATTATAATATGCTGTACTAATTTTGTAGTAACTAATTTTCCTCAATATTAATAAGTTAGTATAACAGCCTCCATATTTTTGCTATTTTTAAACATTTATTTCAGAACGTGCCATTTTTTAAGCTTTATAATGTTTGTATCCGAAGTAAAGCATCATTTCCGTGAACAACACAATAACCCAGTAAATTTCGTAAATAGTGGCAACAATGTTCTTCCTGTCGCCATGATTGAATGCGCGTTTGCCTCAAGAATCTCGTTTTTCTGCTAGTAGCGTCGTGTTGTGTTTGGTTTTTCATTGTTTGTAACAAAAATGTTGCAATATTAATTATGTCAAGCTGCCGTGATCACTTCTGTGGAGTCGACAAAAAAGGTAAGATACTTAAAACGTATAATTTTTATGCTTTTATGAAGTTATGGTAACAAAATCTTGCTTCTCTTGAAACCAGAACACATAACCTAACATTTTCCAACGGTTAAATAAATATTGGCGGTAAAATATTCACTTCTGTGGACATCATTTCCGTGGACCTTCTGTGTCCACGGAAGTGACACGTGTCCACAGAAATGATTCGAACCAGTAGTTTATTTAGTTTTCTCTTTTTTTAGTTACGATGAAACTCACTGCGTCATTCTGTTAATTTAAATTACTGATTAAAATGCCAAGTGATAAAGAAAAGCTAGAAAAAAGGCGAGAGCAAAAAAACTTAGCATGAGAAGAGCTAGGGAAAAAATAAAGCAAGATAGAGACAAGCATGAAGAAATTAAACAAAAGGATAGAGAAAGATACCGAAAGAAAAAGGAAGAAGGATTGGTAATGGGTATAAAAGATCTTAGTCGAAGAGACCAAAAAGCGAAAAGGAAGGAATGGAGGGAAAGAGCCAAGCGTTATAGACAGAAGGAAAAGAATAATCGGCTTCTTAACGATATGTTACAAAGAAATTCTCCACCGCCAACTCCTGAACAAGAGATTGAATTGCCCAGTACACCTCCATCAACTAGCAGAATTGCTTCCGGAAAAAAATTGCTAGGAGAAATAGGGAGAAATGGAAAAAAGAGAAAAATGACTTGATTAAAATGCTAGATGAGGCTAAATCAAGAAAAAATAAATACAAAACCCGTTATTACAGACTAAAGAAAATAATGGAAAAAAAGATGTCTACTACTGAAAAAAAGGTTTCAGAAATGATAGCTGGACAAAGTGTCACTCCAACTGTGAGGAGAAATCTTCTTCATGGGGAGGTTCTCAAAAAACAAATTAAAGATAATTTCAATCAGCAAACCTCTAAAGAGAAAACCAAAACTAGTTTTAAGAAAGTTTTGCATGGTCCTTTGATTAAAAAGTTTAAATTGAATAAAATGTTGCAAAATTTGACATCCAGAAGAACTTTAAGTTATAGAAAACAAGTGACTAACGGGAAAATTATTGCGGCAAGAAGAGCTGTGGTAGAGTTTTTAGAAGAAGATGAAAATAGTAGAATTACAGCTGGAAAAAAGGAGACAATTACTAGAAAAACAATGAAAAAACAGATTCGTTACTTGAATGATTCTATGAGAAGACTTCACGAAAAATTTATCAAGAATACCCAATTGAAGAAAATTAGCTACTCAACGTTTTGTTCACTTCGCCCATTTTGGAAAGTCGAGATCAACCTGTTTGTGCAAAATTCACACGAATATGGTTACTGGTTAACAGATGTAAAATTGACCAACTAATTTGTACAAATTCTCCATATGAATTAAGCAAATCCTTATGTTGTGAAATATCTAGAGAAGAATGTATGGATAGGCAAATTGCCTACAAAAAAAAATATTTACCACCGATTTTTTACCAAATGAAGTAACGTCCTTTGAAAAATGGACCACAAAAAAAATAAAAGTTCTAATAAAAGGACAAGAAAAGATGTGTCACAAAACTTTGAAGGAGAGCATAGCATGCACAAAACTTGAACTGGTGAAAGAGCTAAATAACACCATCAGACCTTACATGAAGCACTGTTTAACTGTTTCTCATCAGCAAAAGGCAATCACTGATATAAAACAAAATCTTACAAGCAAAAAAATTCTGATACACATGGCACGGTGCTCGGGAAGCAGCTTTAAATGAAAAGATAAGTTTCATGTTTTTTTTTTGTTTTTATGTATTTATTGCAACAATAGAAGTAATTTTTTGGTATTTTTAGGATCGCTTAACATGGCCGTTTTTAAGAAAATATTGAATTTATAAAAATAAATTGGATTTTTCGAAACATCAATTTATATTGTAATAAACTATCGTAAAAGCAATATGAAAGTGTATACTTACGTTTTTTAACAACTAAAGTAGCAAACACATTTTAAACTTACATACATATATACAGTGTGGCCCACTTAAGATGGAAACACCCCGTAACTTTTTTATTTGTAACCCGACTTTATTGAACAAAGGCTCAAAAGATAGAGAATAAAAAACTCTATTAGAGCTGTTAAAGTTGTTTTCAAAGTCACCCGACACATGCCTACTATAATTTTTTTTCTGTGTCAAAATTAAAAAAAAAACATTTAGGGTAATTTTTACGAAAAAAATAAGTACGCCACTGAATTTGGCATGCTTAAAAATGGGTAAATACCAAATTTCATTAAAAACAATCGATTGATAATTATTTTACAACGGTTTATTTAGTTTATTTCATATTTTATTCTTCTAAAATCTATGCTTTTTTCTTAACATTTATTTTAGTTGTTCCTCAAATAGCGCTTCAGAAACTGTCTGTTGAGGAAGTGTACACATCAAACTCATAAAGTAAAAAAGAAGAAGAACTGATGCAAAAAATTAAGTAGTTAGGGTCTCTGGGTTAAAAAACACAGAAAAATATTTTATCGGATTTGTGTGTGATAAAAAAGAAGAAGATATTCTTGTTAAGTTTTTAAAAAGGTGCACTGGAAATAAATTTATATTTCCAGAACAAGAGGACATTGCTTTTGTTGATCCTTCTGACTTAATAGCTACTTTAAGTAAACCAACTGTAAATAGTCGACAGCAGTATATTTTTAGTTCTCAAGACTTACATAATATTAAAAATTTGTTCTAGAAAACATTATACCAGTGTTTCGCATTAGTGTGTGACTTAGGTTACCATTATCTTTTAGTTTTGTCTATTCCGTGGACATATTTGTCACTTCTGTGGGTTATAATTATTTTAAATAAAAAACGATTTAAATTATTGTGTTTTTTATTTTATCTTAAGTGGCCTATATAAACTTGAAACATTACATTATGTAGTAATTTGGACATACATGTTCTCAAATTTTTTTAAATATTTTACCCAAAATCACCTCCGTAGATCAAAAGGACTTTTCTGTGGACTTTTTATTTTTATTTTAGTTAAAAAACCTCGAAATAATTTTTAGGGACCTTAGCGAAGCATAGTGTATAGAGTATTTGTATCAAAGAATTTTATGAACATACAAAAATATACAAAAGAAACATTTTTTTTTTTCAAAAAATATTATTCAGAAAGTGTACATTATTACAAGATTGACTCAACTATGACGCGGAGTTTTGTGAAAGCGGAAAAATAACTTAATTCCCCAAAATTCTCCGCCTATTGGTGATTCCCTACAAATTGGCAGTGATGTTGTGGTGTACCTTCTTATAGTGACATAATAATTAAGATTTTGGAACTCAGTGAGTTTTCAACTCACTCCAAACGCGAAAATACAGTAACCACTAAGGTTATGTTTATTAACCATATTATTTCATGGTATTTGCGCGAAAAAATGAAATATAATTTTAAGTTTAAATATAATACCTCTTGAAAATTTAAATTAACAACTAAATCAATTACAAATTAACAACATAAATATATTTATATTTAATGTATACTACAACTAAGTGGTTTCCTTAATAACTGTAATAATGGGTGAAGAATTAATAGTTATTTGACAAAAAACAAGTACCTAAGTATAAAAATTCAGATCCATATAAGTAAAGTTATACCTATTCATACTTTTATAATTGAACTTGTACTTACTTTGCAGTTTTAAGTAAAGGATGATTGGATCCAACCAGCTTCCTCAAATGTAATGCAACATTTGCAATTTCATCACTCAAAAGCCATCGTAAACTCAAAAATGATGTAGGATATCCAACAATCTTCTCGGCTTCTGTTACAGCCTTATTCCAGTCAGGTTTCTTTTCTTGGGCCAATTTAGCAAACTGCACTTTACTCGTACTTAATTCTCGTCGTTGAAAATCAACGTAGTTCCTCACTGCTACACTAGAACTGCACAAATTATTTTTAGATAAGTAAAAAAGCCCTAATTTTGAAAGAGACATTTTTTGGTGTTAAATTTTTACTACTGGCCACATAGGGTGAAACAAAACTCATTTAAGAAAGCTGACAACTAAATATAAGTGAAAGTTGACCCACATTGATTCGAATTTTTAAATTCTTTAAAGCCATTAAACAATGTTTTCATAAAATTCTAACCTCAAAATGGAAAATAATCTTTTTTCATGAAAAGTAAATGGATTTTACATAATTCTATGTAAATTAAATAATTGGACATACCTGTTTTAAATGAATACTTATTTATTAAACTATTAAGTAGTTTTATTAAAAACTACGAAAGTTTAAACATACAAAGTTTACAAATTATTCCTTTGAAAGATGTCAGAAATATACTGCATTTACACGACTAACTTGAAACGATATATTATTCAATTCAAATTTATTTATACACAGTGGCGTATTTAGCACTTTTTAGGGGGCTCATGGGTAAATGAAATAACAATAATAACACTATTAAAATCATTAATAATATGGATCCGTTATTCTAAAAATATAAAATATCTTAATATAAAATAATATATAAAAGTACCTATGTAGAGGGTGTCCCAAATTGGTTGTCCATATAGGCTATCTCAGTAAATATAAATGCTAGAAAAAATTCGACCACGCATCCCCTTCGTCTTTTTTAAAAATACATCGGTTGATGTTTTTGAATTTTCTCGATTCGCATTTGTTTAGGAGATATATATATATATATATATATATATATATATATATATATATAGGACCTATTTTTTTAATTTTTGCCAATTTTGACAAATGCTTGTAGCTTCGTTAATATTTGAGTTACCTACAGGTTTAAAATATTATGTAGGCACTTTTTATCATAGAATTCATTAGTGTAGACAGATTTTTTTATAAACGAGCTATAGCTCTTTTAGGTTAAGAGATATGACCTTATAGTTCGTATATATACGAACAACCAATTTGGGACACCCTGTACATTACCACCTTTGAGGGGGATTAAAGCGGGATTTTTAAAGTTGCAGAGTAACCAATTTTAATCTACCCTTTTTTATTCAAAATAAATGTTATATTCTACAAACTTTAAGTTAAAAGTATTAAGAGACAATAATTTTGTAATACAGTCAAAGTTAATTTTCAAAGAAACATTTTCAATTAGCCTAAAAATGTTATTTGGAGTTTTTTTTGCGGTGGTTCCCCAAGTTTTCCAGACGTTGTAGATACTTGGTTGGAACAAAATTTTTATTTCAAATAAGTGAAAAACTAATTGGGAATCGATATTGTACATGTTTCTTATTAATATGCGTTAAAAGGTAATTTTGCTTTAATTATAAAATTGATCAATCGATTACTTGATTATGATGATCTGACAGGTGAATTTTCTAGGCCAACAGATTTTTCAAAGTAAAATTTAATAAGTTTTTGTTTTTGACTGGAAAACATGGGGGTGGGCCAAAAAACGAATTATATAATTGAGTTTGACAGATGATCTGTTGTCATTTTAGCTATAGTAAATTCTAGCCGGAGATTCTCCCTCAGGTCCGAAGAGGTGGTAACCCTTTAATTTATAATTGAGGGCCTTAAAATAAAAGGAGTATAAGTGCAACTGCCCTGTTAAAATTCTGATATTACAAAGTGAATCACCCTGTATATTCTAAGCCTAGCCACGGTATCCAACCCCGTGTATAAATAATTTATATTGTATGTATTTATATTGTATGGTGTGGGTAAAATGTAGTAGTGTAATCGCCGTAAATGTATACTAATTTTCCCAAAAACATCAACTTTGCTGTATCCCACAGGTTTTGTTTAAAAAGTAAGTTATTTTCTTCTTGTCTGACGCTACTACAGACATACAAAAAACAAAGATGGAACGTGGGGACTGTTTTTTATAACAAAATGCATTATTTTCAACGCTTAAGATGCGCCGTATACCTTATCACGACGAAACTTCAATTTATTCGAGTCCGATCGCAGAATACGCCGGTGCTATTCTGATTTTGAAGCAGTGTTCCTCGACTATATTTTTCTAATAATAGAAATCTCCCCCTTGAAGTTAAACAAAATTACCCTTTCCTCTTAAAGTTTATTGTTGTTAAAAAAATTGTTTCTGAAAAATTGTAGTTCTGTTACACCCCAGTGCAACTAAAATTTGCTAGGTGAGAATTTTGATTTATTTATTTAGTTTACACTACATAGGTACAAATAAATTTATATTTTGCTCCCTGTCGAAGTTTTCCTCCGAAATAATAATATTAATAATAATAAGTGTTTTCCTCTTAACTATTAAATAGTTCGTTCTTATGTAGGTATAGTTTTTCTATAAATACCATAGTTTTAATAATGGTATAATTTTAGCTGCTCCAGTATAATAATTTTGAGAGTAATGTTCCAGTTTCATGTGTACCAAAATTGCGCAAGCTTCGAAAAATCAATACTACTTTTGCCGGTTTAGCTGAACCGTGTAAGTAATAAAATTGCAAATAACATGCCATGTGCACTTTGTTTATCGGTATTGCGGTTTTTTATTAAATTTCCTATTAACAACAATAGTTTTTTTAGAATTTTCAATAAATAAAACATTATAATAGGTACCGGTATATATTTAATAATAATTTATTAATTTTTTTTCTTGAATGTAAAACTAGGTTTTATTTTTATTTTGCAGCCGACGTCGGTACCTTATTATAAATTATAATTTTTTATTAAGGTTGATATATGCATATACACACACATATATACAGGGTGTATCACGGTCGATGGTAGGTTAGACGTTTATGGAGAACGGCAAAAGATTTCGAATTTAAATTTTTATAGAAATTATAATATCATTTAAACTATTTTTCTAAATTATTTTGAACAAAATTCCTCTTCCGGTTTTAACGGAAGTGATATCAACTTTGTTATTTTAAATGGATCATCATAATTTTTTTTACATTTTTAAATTCCTAATATCATTCCTTATAAAATTGCTATACCATGTCCCATACCTAAACTTAATAGTTTTTGAGTTATTAGGTATTTTTTTTTTGTAAAATTCGGTCAGTTTCACCCTCAACAAAAAGAGCTTTTTTATTATAATATATTAGGTTTGCTGATATCCGGTTGGATTTATTGGAATCCTGAAGCATTCTTTTAAAGATTCCATGTAATTTATTTTAATATTTCTAAAAAGATACTTACTTGATAAAAAAACAATGTGAATGTAGCTAACTTAAAACAGCAATAACTTTTTTATTTTCAATGAAACGCCCTGTATATTTTTACATAATTAAATATGAAATTATAATACCTTTTCATTGATATAACTATTCCCTATACCTAATTATACTTTAAAGTAAAATTTTTAAATATTAATATTAATTTAAATTAATAAACAATACTAGTGTAATCTACAAATGAGTTTCAAAAATCATATGACAAGAAAATAATATTAATAATAAGAATATTTTTTTCGGTGTTTGTAAATAAAAGCACTCTCTAAAAATGAATTAGTCAAATGACTAATTTAATAGTTAGTGGCTGCTTTTTCACTTGTACCATGGTTAACCATGGAATACCATGGTATCCCAAAATTTAACAGTCAATTCTTATGTAAAATTGTCCCCTGAATCCGAAAATGTCAAAAGTTAAGAAAGTAAAACAGATTTTGAGATATAGTCAATATTCCATTTAATATGGAATTGACTATATCTCAAAAACTGCTTCACTTTAATAATTTTTGGGATACCATGATATTTCATGGTTAACCACGGTACAAGTTTAAAATAATTATTAATTTGGTCATTTTTGACTAATTTATTTTTAGAGAGCACCGAAACAAAAAGTAAATGTGTCGTTTTGTAGGTATAGTATACCTATAGTATAGTATACCTGGTATACCTATATGTAAGGTGACCAACCGTTCTGATTTAACCAGAACTATACTGTTTTTGAGAACCATGTTCTGGTTGTAAATTAAGTAAAGTAAAAGTTCTGTTTTTCAAAAGCTTTTCTGTTTTTTTCTGTTTTTATACCTACATATACCTACAATACTATTTAAGCCATAAACATAAAATTATATTTTCCACTTTGCCAGATTTTTCGCCCAATCGTGCAACCCTGCTCGCCCTACTCCCACTAAATACATTCGCGTTGTCGTTCGCACTTGGCTCTCCCCAAACGAACTAATAGTTCGGAACTATTTTAGTATTGCGCATGTCCCTGACGTCTGCGCGTTTTATTGTGGTTAAATATTGTAAAATTCATTGTTTTTTATATTTCAAACTCTAAATGATATGCCTCTGTAAAGAGGAAAATGCATCTTTAATGCGGAAATGCAAAATAATTACCCATATTGCTGTGGTTATCTTGAACAAATAGTCCTGTAGAGAAAGTTTTTTCCAATATGAACAACTTTTGGACAAAATACAAATCACAATTGCGTATTGAAACACTAAAATCATTATTAATTGTTAAAACTAATTTCGATCAAACATGCTTTAAAAAAATGAAGTTCTAATAAAAAAAATTCACTCCCAAGAAAAATATAGTTTTAAAAAATCTTAATTTGTAATAATATTATTATAATAGAAATACATGTAAACATTTTATAAATAATACAGATTTTTTATTAGAGTTCTGGTTTTTCTTTCAGGAGAGTTGGTCACCTTACCTATATGTGTATAAACGGTCTGATTGAACGCCCGGTACCTTAAACGGAAAATTATAGAGGTGTATAGGATGACGCCAGATTTGAATATCGATTTCTAAATCTCCCTACGGTATAGAGTTGTATTCGTCAGTCGAGCGTTTCAATACTCTCCACAGTATAGAGGTCGTAATTTCACTTTTGAACTAGTATTAATATAAAAATTATTTTATGCTTAAAAAAAACTATATACGACATGATTGTGATTTTTTTCATTTTATTAATTAATTAAGCTGTGTTGAATATTTTTCCTAAAGGAATAATTGCCAATGGGCCATTAATTCATTTGTTCGTAGATGCTACAATAACCTGCACTGGTGTGTATTTTTTCATCAACCAGATTTAAATATTACAAAATTAACATATACCAGTGGAGATGAGATAGTGCAGGGTCTACCAACAGACCTAATTACTAAATTATTAAAGTTTAATAGCATATCGATCATTTTTCAACATAACCTCTTAAATTTTTAATACAAATATAGGTACTTTATATAATACATAAATATACTTAACATCATATCCTCTGTGCTTTACATACCTGAGTTGTTACGGTAAATAAAAATCAGACAAAGGAACCAAAGAAAGGAACTATTTTCAACAAAATCATATGGAGAAATGAGAAAATTCATCCATCAAAAGATCAAAACTTCTTGCAATATTACACCCTCTTTTTATACTCTCAGAAATATTGACTAGAACAGTATTAGAGAGACTCCAGTTTCTATAACTTGGTAGAGTAAAGAGAAGTTGAAACCGTTGCGATATTGCATTGCGCTGTTTTTGTATAATTCTCGGGGACATTAACGAAAATCATTGCCAGTAAAATTCGAAAAGCTTGAGTTTCTATGTCTCTGAGGAGAATAGGAATCCGAAGTTGCTGCACCATTGGACTGAACCCTTTTTTAATAATTTCTAGAGACATATATGACTGCACCATTCGACAGGGTCGAGTTTCTACTCCTCTGTTGAATATAGAAAATCAAAATAATGTATCTTGTAAGACACCATTGAGTTTGACTTTAAATATAGTCGTGCATAGGTATAGAGCCGAAAAATATAAAAACAAAGCACGATTCAATACAGTTATGATAAAACTTTAAGATTTGATATTCAAACGCGGAGTCATCCTATACACTTCTATAATTTTTCGTTTGCTGAATTCATTAAAAGGTATATTATTATTTACTAATAAGGTTAGAAATACATTAATTAAATAAAAATAATGTTTTAAATTAACAAAAATTGTTAATAAAATAGTTAAAAATCACTATTCAAATGAAGTTTTGATGAACTTGTTTATTCTTCATTGACAATATAACAAACTTATTGCTAGAAAATGCAGAAACTTTTTGTATGTTGTACCTTTAATTTGGTTACCTATCCATTAAGCATAAATATTTTCAACTTCTTTTGAGTAGTTATTTTCCTTTATTTTAATAATAATAAATATCGGGAAAGTTTTGTTATTCATACCAAATTAATACACATAAGCAACATTTTATCAGTTTTTCTTCATATTATTAGGTTAATTGTAAAATATCTTTTTAATATTAACTTTAGGTATAGGGAATAGTTATATCAATGAAAAGGTATTATAATTTCATATATAATTATGTAAAAATATATAGGGCGTTCCATTGAGAATAAAAAAGTTATTGCTGTTTTAAGTTAGCTGGGCGTTTCTCTGTAAACTGGGCAACTCATTGTCTCAAGCTAATATTGTTTAGAAAAATAACAGATCATAAATATTTCGTAGATAACTTCAAAAGATAATAACCTAATCTACCTATGCTCGACGTTCAAAATCCAATAAAATAAACTTTAATGTATCAAAATCGTTTTTATAGTCCTTAAAAACCAGTCCCCTGACGTGTCACCAAAGCAAAATGGTCACTTCAGACTAAATTAATTAAAGACAGTAACTATTGGAATCAACCTAATTGTTTAATTATTCAACCAATATTGTTTGCTTGTTACTGTGACTTATTTATTTTTTATAATTATTATTTTGTAATTCTAAAAAAGTCATCTTAACTTTGTCTCCGGATTTTATAAACAGTCCCCTGTATAGATTTTTCAGAAAATGCTCAATGTTTTCCAAAGTAATATGAATATTTTTGGTTCATCTGCCGTATACTAATAAATAGACCGATATTTATTCCTCGAATAACATTTATTAAATACAACAAAAATATAACAAAAAAACTTGCCTAGACAATTTCTTACTTCAAGTTGCCCAGTTTACAGAGAAACGCCCAGCTACATTCACATTATTTTTTTACAAGTATCTTTTTAGAAATATTATAATAATTTACATGGAATCTTTAAAACAGTGCTTTAGGATTTCAATAAATCCAACTGAATATCAACAAACCTTATATTAAAAAAGTTATACGCTTTTTTGTTGAGGGTGAAACTGACCAAATTTTACAAAAAAGATTAATAACTCAAAAACTATTAAGTTTA